AATGACCTGAAACCACTTCCCCTGAAGGCTAGATCTCAGCTTTGGAGAGTGCTATGGAGGTGCCAAGGAAAACATCAATGGATGATCTGACACCAGCTTCAAGACCAAATAACCACATCAATGGCCAGCATAGCATACGACATTGGTACAGTACTGGCACTTTTATCTTGGGGGCAATCAACAGCACCTAATTGGACTAAAAGCCACTTAATGGGAGGAAACTAAAGTCTGGTACTGTGAATATAAGCAAATACACACAGCTGGAGTGGTCATAGATCTTAGAGAAAACCCCAAGACTGTCACATCTCTAATGTGATTTCTTACTATGGGAAAAATATGTATCCTTATATTTACAGACAAATATCCCAGTAACCACTCATCAAAGAAGCTCATTTTACACCAGTCGGAGACAATTACCAAGTACCACAACTGGACATGGACATTGTCTATAAATTCCCCAGGCCTAAGTGACACATCTCCAATGCAATCTCTACACCTGAGGCTTATGGAACACAAACGGGGATAATGAGGACACCAGTGAATTTCTCAGTTCTCGATAATGAAGCTTTCTCATGCAGCGGAGGGCCAGGAACACAAAAGGTCACAAATGGCCAAAGTGTAGAGATCAAGTGTCTGCTGAATACTGGTCCTTGTAAAGGACTCCTTTATTAAACTTCACCCACCCAAGGCTCATGGACCATCATGGCAGAGGGGGTGGAAAGACTGTAAGAGCCCAGGGAGGAGGTGTGGGATCATATGGAAACAAAGCCCTACCTACAAGCTCCTGGGAACCTGCTCATATGAATCTATGGCAATGGTGTCAGCAAACACAAGGCCCATGCAAACTCAGGCAGACAAAAACCCAGCATAGAACTGGGAAAATGAACAGAAGACCCCATTCTTATCTGAAGAACATTGGCAACTAATTGCTGCTAGGTGAGGAAGAGTTGATCTTCTTAAAACAAGGGACTCTAGATAGGCTGACTAGACATCAGTGAATGGACTTGCACTGGGGATTGTCTGGGGGCACTGACTTGACACAGTGGGTCTTAACAGGGAAGACAGAGTATGTGGGCTCCAGTGGGGGGGGTATGGGAAGGTGCTGTTGGAGATGGGAATATAAAGATGATTAAGATTATTTGAAATGTCCTACACAAAATACACAAAAATTCAATAAAAAAATTAAAAAAAACATTTCAAACAAATAGTGTTGCTAAAGCTGGATAGCTTGATGTAGAAAAATGAAAATAGATCCTCATTTCTCACTCTGAACAAAACTCAACTTCAAATGGATCAAGAACCTCAACAGAAGACTTGATACCCTGAATTTGATGGGCTACAAAGTAGGGCATACTGTAGAATTGAGACTCACAGGGAGGGACTTTCTGAACAGGACTCAGGTACTGTAGGGATAAAGACCAGCAGACAAAAGGGACCTTATGAGACTAAAAAGCTTCTTCACAGTAAATGACACCATCATTCAAGTGAAAAGGCAATATACAGAATGAAAAAAATCTTTACCAACTGTGTGACAGAAGGATAGTATCTAGAGTATACAAAGAACTCAAAAAACTAAACACCAAGAAAATAAACAACAACTAAAAATTGGAACAAAGGACTAAACAGTTGTCAAGGATGAAATGCAAATGGCTTGGAGTAATCCTTATCCATCAGGGAAATGCAAACTAAAACTATTTCATGACTTCCTCTTACCCAATTCAGAATGGCTAAGATCCAAAAACCAAATAACAGTTAATACTGGTAAGGATGTGGGGAAAGAGAAACACTTATTCACTGCCGGTGGGAGCGCAAAGAGGTGCTACCACTATGGAAATCAGTGTGGACGTCCCTCAAAAGGCTAAAATTAGATCTACCACATGATCCAGCCATATCACTTCATGACTTCCTCTTACCCAATTCAGAATGGCTAAGATCCAAAAACCAAATAACAGTTAATACTGGTAAGGATGTGGGGAAAGAGAAACACTTATTCACTGCCGGTGGGAGCGCAAAGAGGTGCTACCACTATGGAAATCAGTGTGGACGTCCCTCAAAAGGCTAAAATTAGATCTACCACATGATCCAGCCATATCACTTGGGCATATGCCAAGGACTCTGTATCCTGCTGCAGAGATACCTGTTTATCCATGATAGTTTGCAGCTGTGTTCACTGTAGTCAAGAACATTCATCTATGAGTATAACAATGATTCGTTTGGAGTTGGTTTAGTATTTCATACATTTAGCAGAATAGTAATATTAGATTCTCACCTATGGCCTGCTACCTATAGAACCTTCATAGAACAAAGTCTAGCCAAAAGTTCTTTGGCTGGATATCAGGGTTGGGGCTCCATCTTGTGAAGTGAACCTTAAATCTAATCAGAAAGTGGTTGGTTGCTCCCACAACATCATTGCCATTATTGCACCAGTGGACATATCTTGCCAGGCCAGCTGTTATTGTAGTTTGCAGTTTTAACAGCTTGGCAAGGAGTAGGAGAGACTAATTCAGGTGGAACGGGAGAGCAGGCAGAGGTATATGACGAGGGATGACTAACACTAAAGGCCCTTTGAAAAAGTCATGTGGAAACCTACCATCATAGAATTTCTTAAAGTGTGTACATGTAAGAAGAGTTTAAATAAAGTATTTACCTTACAATGGGGGTTCAATGGCCCTAACCAGATAGCATAGACTAGAAAATAAAAAGCCGTGGTGGTGCATGCCTTTAATCCCAGAACTTGGGAGGCAGAAGCAGGTGGATCTTTGTGAGTTCGAAGCCAGCCTGGTCTACATAGTGAGTTCCAGGACAGCTGGGGCTATAAGATGACCCTGTCTCAGAAAGACAAAAAAAGATTAGAAAAAGCCCAATGTCAGGAATGAACTGCCTCTTTTAGAATTAGTGACCAGGAGGTGTCCTATAGGATCCTAAACAATACTGGCTATTGCCATTGCTCTTCAGCACCTGCCAGAAGGTGACAGTAAGACCCTATTGTGGAAGATATTATATGTGTGAGTCATAGAACAAACAAGAAAAAAAATCAAGCTGGTACTGACCTAAAAATTTCATCTCTACTTCCTAAGCTTTCATAGTACTAGATTGTGCTGTGCATGCTGCTGGAAGGGAAAAGTAATCATCAGTGTTACCCAGCTGTTAACTCTGCAAACTCCAATAATGACTGGCCTGGCAAGATATGCCCACTGGTGCGATGCTGGCATGACTGTTATTAGATCAACCAATCACCTTCTGATTGTATTTAAGGCCCACTTCATAAGATGGAGCCCATACCTGGCACTGTTAGCAAGACGAAGAACCTGTGGCTAGACAGGTCATAGGCCATAGGGGAGACTGTGTCACGATTATTCTGCTAAATAGATATAGTATTCAACAGACTCCTAATGACTTACTGTTATAGACATCGATCAGTGCATCTCTCAACTCTCACCAGAGACTCTTTTTTGCAGCAGATGGTGATTAACAGAGACTCACGACTGGTCATTGTTCAGAGAATAAGAGACTGTAGGGAGCTCAGCCCTAAATGGGAGACTTATATCACCCCTTCTCCTCCCAAGGCTCAGGGATCGTTTCAGAAGAGGGGGTAGAAAGATAGTAAAGGCTGGAGGTGCTAGATGGAGTCAAGGAAACTGTGTTGTCTGGACACCATAGGATGGTTGCACATATGAACCCACAGCAATTGTGGCAGCATGCACAAGACCTTTGCAAGGCCAAGCCAGACAGAAATCCAGCATGGATGTGGGCGGTGGCAGGAATGCTCCTTGGAGGAATGCTGCTTACCATCGGGTTTCCTCTGACTTGCTCATATACCTTTCTTATACAAGCCAGGCCCTCCTGGCTAGAGGTGGCATCCCCACAGTAGGCTGAGCCCTCCCACATCAATTAATGATCAAGAAAATGCCCCACAGACATGCACACAGGCAATCTGAAGGAAGGAGGTACTTAACTGAGTTTCCTCTTTCCAGGATTCTCTAATTTGTCAAGTTGACATAAACTAACCAGCACAAATGATCCATTATTTTCTTGTAATTAATAAAATTAGACTTATTAATATTGCTTTTAATCTTTGAGAAATGCAATTTTTCAAATGCCAACAATGAGGGAAAAATTGATTCAGGGTTTTGTGGTACAGCATGGTAGCTTAACACAGTCATGTAAGGTTTGATGTTTGTTTTGTAATCTGCTGAGGAAAATAAGAGTAACAGGAGTTCTGTAAATGAACACTTGGGAGTGTCTGTTATAAGAATATTTACTTGTTCATATTTCAAAAAAAATACCTTGAAACATTCTTTGTGAATCGAGGTCATGCTAGGCATGGTGCCTCGTGTCTCTAAACCTAGTACTGGAGAGGCTGAGACAGGAGGGTTGCAAGTGTAAGACCATCGTGAGCTACTTCCGGAGACCCTGTCTCAACAGCCAAAACCAAAGCAAACAAAATCAAGCTCACAAAAGTTATACATGCCCTCCGTTACCACAAACAATGACGTCAAGGATAAATTGGGAAGTTGTAGAAAAATGTTTAAATGGAGTTTTAAAAAGTTTCATGTTTATAGCTTGGTGTGGTGGCGCACGCCTGTAGTCCCAGCACTTGGGAGGCAGAGGCAGGCAGATCTCTGTGAGTTCAAGGCCAGCCTGGTCTACATAGTAAGTTCCAGGACAGCTGGGGCTACAGGGAGATGCTGTCTCAAAAAGACATCCCCCCCCCAGAAAAAGCTTTATGTTTTATAAATTTGAGAACAAATGTTTTTTATATGGACTCCAAGTTATACCAAACTGACTGAATTTGACCACATTAGCAATAATTATATTCAATAGATATGTTTTTCATTAAAACCTGTTAAGTTTTAATTCTTTATAAAACATAATTACTAGGAAATTTGATATTGACAAATGTTGATGATTCTATGTAATATTAAATAATTACATTAATTCTAATTTGTTTGGCTAAAAATATTTGGAAATTCATCTTAATTTTCTTTTCACTGTAACAGATAGATCACATACTGATTCATCAGCAATTTGAGCTTGTGGAAGGTATGTATTCATTGTATGCATCTTATTTCTATAAAGAAGAGGCTGACACAGATGAGGACACCGTCAGCAGGACAAATGTAGCACTCCGGATGACTTGGGATGACAAACCTGATTGCTTGCAGCATCTGTCTTCACAGTCTTTAAGCCATGAGCATTGTTTGTAATTTATTTCTGCAAATTAGGGGTCAGTTAGTAAATACAGTGCTCACCTACCCTCATGATATAGACAGTAATTTAGAAAGGATCGCTCGAGAATTAGTTTTACTTCTCTCTATACAACCACTGCACATCACCTTACCTGACTTCCACTGGCTCTGCTGTTGTTGAGCAACTCGTGATCCTCTTGAGACTTCAGAACATCATGCAGTAGTTCAGCTTCCAAAGTGAACAGCCCTTTGGAATCAGGATGGGGATGTTCTGGAAAATCATTTTTTGCATCCTGACTACAGCTTCTGCTGGGAGGTCAAAGGAGCTCTGTCAAACCTGTGTCCCATGGGCTGTGGATTCCCAGCTCAGGCAGGGCCTGTGGTACTGGAGATGCTGACCAGAGGCCCTGGGTGTCTGCTCTCCCCAGAGCACTCCTGCTGCTGAGTGGGCAGATGCCTCCAGATTTCTCCTTGGATTGAGTGTTCTCAGTGCAAAAGAAACTTAGGAAACCACTAGCTATATCGGGACAGCCACTAGGGACATGTATGAACCATGATGCATCTTCCTCCTAGATACCAGAGCATGGTGAAAACTCAGTTGGAATCTAGAATATCATTATCACCTGTTAGAACATGGAATAGGCAGAGTGTGACACAGTTTTAGATTTTGTTAAAATATACATTTTTATTTAAATTGCTTATATGGTAAATTATTAGAAATTACAAATACTTGGACTTGTTTAAATTTTTCTGAACCACATTTTTCTCTAGAAAGGAGCACTTTTTGTAATGTTTTGTATTTTGAAATTTTAAAAAAGATTCAATTTTATAATATACATTACTGAGAATTTAAAATCCCAGAAACCTGCTATTATACATTATGTAGCATTCCAGTTCTAATTTTGAGATCTATGTTTCATCTGTATTTGTGTACTAAAAGTGTTCAGTGTGAAATATTAATCCACATCCACTAATTCTTTATTGTTTACTTTATTAAAAATCCACATATTTGAGGATGGAGAGATGACTCAGCGGTTAAGAGCACTGGCTGCTCTTGCAGAGGAGCGAGGTTTGGTTCCCAGCACCAATATCACAGCTAACAACCCATCTGTAACTCCAGTCCCAGGGGATCCAGCACCCCTTCTAATCACGGCAGGCATTGCAAGACAAGGGTACATTTATATGCATGCAGGCAAAACACTCATACATATAACATTAAAAAACCCCACATATTTAAGATTTGCTTATTTTATTAGTTACTTTTAATATTTACAGGTAATATGAAAAGATAAAGATTACTCCATTTATTTTCTGCATCTGGGATTCCTGTAATTGCAAATGTAATGGATGCTGCAGATGTATCAATAGACTACAGATTCTTTCTTCTTTTACAGTCCCAGGACTCGAACCCAAAGTCTTGTACATTCTAGGAAAGTTCCACTGTTGCTTCTCCAGCCCTCCTATAAATTCTTTTGTTTTGTTTGTTCTATCTCATAAGAACTGGAAGGAAACTAGAGGCTGTGTAAACCTGTTCATCTCACTTTACAGATAAACAAGAATAGAGAACTACTAGCTAACAGAGAGCCCGCTGGATAATATATGCTCTCTCAGGAAACAATTTAATTTTTAAGCAGTTTTAAAATCTTTCCAAAAACACTTATGGCAGATGTTGAGACTAAGCCAGTTTTCTAGAAACTACATTTAGGCTGTTCAGGTCTCAGTGAAGACGATGTTTTGTCATGGGCAAATTTGATTACTATTTGACTCTGTTTCTAAAAGAGAAACGATTCCTTCTGATAGGATGACATTTGAGAGTCTGTATTCAACGTCCCTCTGTTTTTGCCATGAAGAAAACACCTTTCCTTTAGGATGCCCGTGGCATTAGTGTAACGATACAGTATTGTGATATAGTTACAATAATTGAAGTCCAAATTGCCATGCTCCTCCCTCACCCTAACCCCTTGTCCAGTACCTGTCTCCACTCCTCAGGGGTACCTGGGCTCCATGGGATATTCTAATTCACTTTCCATTTATGCATGTGGGTGTGTAGAGTAAGTCCCCTCCTTGTCCAAACAGTACAAAAAAATAGGACAAGTATGACTGATAAGACAAAATTACAACTCAATTTATTCAATATAGTATTTTAAAAGGATCATTCTAACATCTCCATAATTCATGAAAACTGTGTTTGGGAACTGGACATTCCTCCACACTCTCACCACTGTACCCCACCCCCCCATGGAATTAGCAATAACTGTTTTCCATGGCCCACAGAAGCTTGGATTCCTCTTGATTACTAACCTCTCCGATTTTCCTTTTGCCTTTTTTTTTCTCCATCTCGATTATCTTTAAATAGCTTCCTTTCTCCTCTTTCCTGTGCTACTTGGCGTTTCATCTGAATCTGGACTCTGTAGATGTCTTGTGATCTTAAGATAGGTTCAGTGCTTTCATGCACTGGTGATAATGATTTTTCTCTCTTTTTAGCTGTTACAGGTTTTGAAACCTCTAATCAATACAAAATTAGGAACAAGTTTGGGCAGAAGGTTTACTATGCAATAGAAGATTCTAATTTCTGCATCCGGCATTGTTGTGGACACTGTAGGAGTTTCTCCATGAAGATCCTCGATAACACAGGACAAGAAGTCATCACTCTGAAGAGACCACTAAGATGTAGCAGCTGCTGCTCCCCCTGCTGCCTCCAGAAGGTCTGTGAGCACTTAGTAGGGCAGCCTGCAAGATAGTTCAGCGAGAATTTGTACCGTGTTGTTCAGATGTAAAGGCAAAGTGACATGGTTATATTTTGGTCTTCGGCCAACTATATAGGATGGTAGGCAGGTGACTAACCCTATGCTTCTGGGTAATCTTCCCTGTGTGGTTGAGCAGCAAGTCAGACAAGAATCCTTGATATTCAAGGGAAGGTCTTATAAGGCATCTTGGCCAAATCTCTTATCAGAAGTGACTGTGAGAGGCATGGCTCAAACCAATAAAGAGAGCATCTTTAAGAACATCTGGGAATATTGTTGTTCAACACATGAAAAGAAAAGTCAGGAAAAGAATAGATGTACTCCTTTTATGATTTTTGGCCAATCTACTAAGGAACAAATAGAAAAAAGTTTCATCTCCCGTATTTTTCATTTCTTTCCTTTTCAGCAAACATGTATGAGTTGTGTTTTCTGTAACAAGTCTATCCCAGGTGGATATAGTCACAGCTATCTAACGGATATTTCCTATCACTTCGTGGTCTGTTCGTTGCAGATGTGCCTTCCAATATAGATACTAGGGCACAGGGACTTATAGAGAAAGTGACTTTTGCCTGGAACTCTAGCCCAAGGCCATGTGTGCATGCATACCCCAGTCATTCTGTAAAGACTGTCCTACAAGCATGACTTAAACAGAGATAACAGGAAAATGGTTTTCTGAGGCTTAATTTTGCACATTGAGAGAATAGCTTGATTTATTTGCAAATTGTTTTGTTTTCCATGTCTTTTAGGCTATAATGTTATATCCATGAGAATATCCAAGGAGAATGAATTTGGGGGAAATCTCTATGACGGAGAAGCATTTTAGCATGTGTCATGATACTTAATCATCATAAATGATTGCTACAGAGGAGCATATTAAAGCACTGTCATTATTTTCCAGCAAATATATACATAGCAGGGTCATGAGTCTAGAGCCCGGATTCTTTCCCTTATAGCAATATTAGGACTCGTCGTTGAAAATTGCACCAGTGATCAGAGTTCTATCTCCATGTATAAACCACTGTTTATGAATGAGTGTAAGGAGTTTGTTAATAATTTAGACAGTTCACATAAGTAAGGATATTAGGGATTTTTGTAAGGCCTCTAGATGGATACTTCAGAGGTGTGATGACGCACGCAGGTCTCCTGGATTTCAGCTCATCTCTTCTATGTATTAGCTGAGACTCTGATGCAAGTTAACTGACCTCTCTTTTCTGCAGTTACATCTTCCATGAAATCAAGAAAGGAATAGCATCAATCTAGTTAAGGACATCTTGTGGGTTCGAACAATGTCTGACATTTAAGAAGTTCTTTGTGAATGAAGCTACTTCTATAGAATAAGATTATAAGGATATTTAACTGGTGTTCTTTTTCTTTTATAGATAGAAGTCCAGGCTCCTCCTGGCGTGCCAGTAGGTTATGTTGTTCAGAACTGGCACCCGTGTCTGCCGAAGTTCACAGTTCAAAATGAGAAGAAAGAGGATGTTCTAAAAATTACTGGTCCATGCATAGAGTGCAGCTGTAGTGGTGAAATTGACTTTGAGGTATTAGATATGATGAGGTTTATAGGATTTTCTATCTTTCATAAGTCAAATATAACTTTGCAAGATGCTCCAAATTAAATGAGGATTTAGTACAGCTGTTTCAAAAGAAATGTGATCTGAGAAATGCTTATTGACCGAAAGGGAGGTAAGGGATGATTATCCTAGATGAGGAAAAGATGCTCAGTCCTCTTAGACAAAAATATCCAGATGTCTGTGTTGGCTACTCTTCTCACTGCTGAGGCCAAATACTTGACAGGAAGCAACTCAAGGACTCAAGGAAAGAAGGGTTTATCTTAACCCATGTTTTAAAGTACAGTCCATCATGGTGGGGCAGGCATGATGGCAGAGCTGAGGCAGCTGGTCACTTTGCATGACAAGTCAGGAAGCAGAAAGGGATGAATTCTGATGCTCCGCTTGCTCTGTCCTTTCTGCACAACCCAGGATCCCAGACCATGTGATGGTGTTGTCTACACTAATGGTATGTCCCTCCTGAGTTACATCTTTCTGGAAACACCCCTATAGATGCCCTCAGAGGTATGGAGCCATAGTGATTTTAAGTCCCATCAAGTTGACAATGAAGATTAGCCATCATGTCATCTAACAGTTAATTTAAATATATGGCTTCTGCATGCTGAGAATGTCACCTATTTTATGTAGATGCTTGCTGTGTAAATCTGGTCACCAAAATACACAAGTGCTTGTTAATCCAAAATGCAGCCTGCAGGGTCTCAAAGGCATATTCAGAAAGTTGCACAGCTTTAGTTCCTACAGAGTTTCCAATTGGAAAGAAATACTCTTAAAGTTAGTACAAGTATAATACCCACAGCCCAGTTGTGCGTCTTCTATTACTTTTATACTAAATTAGGTCAACGGGAAAGCATATTTTCTATAATTACTTCATGGGGGAATTGCAGTACAGTAGTTCTATTGTCATATGTGTTATGTAGTTGCAAATATCTAAAACCTGGGAAATTTTCTGTCATCTTGACATCCTGATTCCCTTCCAAAGTCAGAAAATCTGGTCAAAGTGAGGCCTGTATTTCCACAGAAAGGGCAAAGGTGCTCTAACCCTGACTAGGGCTTATGATGAGCCTTTGGAACTCTACCTTCATGTCACGCCTTCATCTCTCCAGGTTCATTTTGTTACGTTGTCATGCGGGTTTTATTTCCTCTCTTAGAAACCAATTACATAAGCAGGGACCCTTTCATTGGCCTCAACATCCAATTACAGAGTGGGCAGTTCCAAGAAGGCATAGGTGACACAGAGGTTTTATGAAGGATTTAAAAGGTGTGTGTATGTATGCTTTGAGCACACATGTGGGCATGTTTGTGTAAGTAGGTAAAATGTCTTAGAGACTTTATAATGGTAATGTATACTAATACTTCTCCCCATATGAGATGGCACTCCTGTCAAAAATCCGGACATGTGAAAAATTATTTCTATTTTCAGAAACAATATTAACAAAACTTAAGCAGACATCTAATTTAATTTTAGCAACAAATGAGAACATTGGAAAAACTATGAATTTTTATATGTAAAACTGAAAGTTCAGGTTTTACCTGGCAGTCTTTTGTTACATGTGATGCACAATTTAAATGGAGCATTTTTTTCATGTTACTCTAACTATGAAAGTAGTTTATTATTATCATTATTTATGTCAGTTTTCTAGAACTTTTTAAGCCTATCATTTTGCTCATTTGTTTTGTTTTCAATTCAGATCAAATCTCTTGATGAACAAATTGTGATTGGCAGGATTTCTAAGCACTGGTCTGGTTTTCTGAAGGAGGTTTTTACAGATGTTGACAACTTTGGAATCCAGTTTCCTTTAGACCTTGATGTGAAGATCAAGGCTGTGATACTTGGTGCTTGTTTCCTCATAGTAAGTCTGTTTCTGCTAATTCTGGCTTCAGATGAAGTTTCTAGAATGATCCTGAAATAACTTAGGAAATTATACACTTAGAGATAACTTTCTCGGGGGAAATGGGGTGGGCATCACATTTCATAGTATGTATGTATCAAGTTCTCAAAAAAATGAAAGAAAAACAAAACAAAACAAGAAGAGCTCATACTTAGTCCTAGTTGTGAAATTCCATCTTATTTCTTATACTTTGGATTCACAAGTGACATAGTTTCTATCCAAAAACTCCATGCAGTTTCAAATGGGAAGATACACAATTTGTATGTCAGAGGGGCTCTAACTTTAAAAACAGTTAAGTTGAAGCTTCAGATAATTAGTGAAGACATATATAATGAAACTTATTGAAACAAAGATTTTTATCTTGATGTTAAGTGACTAAATTATCTAATATATTAGAAAGTAATCGTCAATAAGAGTACACAGTCAAGCAAGTCTCTAGAATTAACTATCAATTTATTGGAAATATCTTCAATAGAGTAGTGACCCTGAGCTTATTGAGCCTACACTGTTAGGCTCTGAACCAGAAGTTTGTAGAGCACCCAGGAAATTTCGCCAGGTCCCCAAAGTTGAAGGTTTTGGGGACAGATCAGTGGTTTCCAACCTTAACTTCACAGTAGAAACACCTGAGTAACTCAAGACCCCCAATATCCAAATGCCCCCCAACCAATAAAAATAAATCTGCAGATACGGTCAACCCTTCAATCTATATTGCACCTTTCGGTCATTCCATTGTGCGCCAAGGTTTAGAGCAACTCCTTACCTTGTTTGGGGAATTAAATCTGAAAAACCTAAAAACAAAAAGTGTATGGAACTAAATGATCCAGGTCCTTCAACAAAGAAATGTCAAAGAAAATAAAAATACAGTGAAAGGAAAGAGATTTGGGAGATACTAACGTATATAGTTTGTGGACCAGGTATAGATGCACATTTGATTAAACTAATCAGACCTGTACATGGCATTCAGAGAAACATGAACATTGGCTAACAAATGATAAAACAAATTCTTGTCTTTTTATGTATTCACGGTATGTGGTGATGAATAAGTCTAACAGGGTGCATGTATTTCAAAAGGTATGTGTTGAGGTATTCAGATTTCCTTTCATTTCATCACATTTTGGTGGGGGGGGATAGGGTATCTTTCTGTAGCCTAAACTGGCCTCAAAGTCATGGCAATCCTCCTGCCTTAATCTCCCAAGTGCTAGGATTACAGGTGTGAGCCACCACACCCATCTAAGATTTGCTTTTAAATTAAAAAAGCGAGTAAAATCACGGAGATCTCAGAAATGTGACAGATTCACCAAACCTCTTCATGGTTGGTAATTATTGAACTAGGCGAGGAGACACTGGCATTTCATTGTGCTGTTCTCTCAAATTTGAGATATGTGATAATCTGTTAATAATAGTTTCAATATTACAACAGCTTCATTTTTTTATTGACAAATAGTATTTTCATATACTTATGGGTGCTTTCTGATGTCTTGATATGAGTATCTGCTGGGATGATTAAATCAAGTTAACTGACATATTCATTACCTCAAGCAATTTTCCTTGTTTTGGAATGTGAATATTTAAAATTCTTGGCAATTTTGAAATATCTAGTATATTATTAACAACTATGGTAACAGAGATGTGCCACAGATCCCTAGAACTTACTGTCATAGCTGAAACTCCTGAACCTTTGATTTGGCTCCAGTTTCCCGAACCCAACTTCTAGCTGCAGGTTCTGGGAACTATCATATTTTGTCTATTATTTTTATGTTGTGTGTATGAGTATACTGCCTGCAAGTATGTAAGTGCACCCCTATCATGCAATGCCCATGGAGGTCAGAAGAGGGAGTCAGATTACCCTGGAACTGGAGTTACAAAGGGTTGTTACCGGCCATGTGAGTGTTAGAACTTGATCCCGGGTCCTCTGCAAGAGCAGTCAGGCTCTTAACCGCTAAGCCATCTCTTCAGCCCCCTATTTATTTTTTTGTGAAACAAGGCCTCACTATGTGGGCCAATCTGGCTTTGAACAGAGATCGGCTGGCCTCCGGCTCCAGAGTGCTGGGATTAAAGTCATGCACCACCACCCCCAGCTACTTTCCAAAAGATTTTAGTATATTTTTAAGACTTATTTTTATTTATATGTGTGTGACTGTGTGGATATGTGTATATGAGTGCAGGTGCCTGAGGAGTCCAGAAGGTACTGGATTCCTTGGAGCTGAAGTTACAGGCAGTTGTGAGCAGCCTGCTATAGGTGCTGGGAACTGAACCCTAGACCTCTCTCAGAGCAGTGCGCGCTCCTACCCACCAAGCCATGTCTCCAGCCTCCACCCTATTCTTTTAGAACCCTGAGGTCCACACTTTTATATTTCCCATGTAAGTGAGATTGTGTTGCATTTCATTTTTGTCCTCAGCTTATTTGTGTGACGAAGTATCTTCTAGGTTAATGCACTTTGCTTTATGGAAAACTTTTCTTTGTACATCTGTCTGTCCGTATCTTCTCATTTTCCTTAGTCTTTCTTTATAGTTTGTTTTGTTTTCTGGCCTAGGCTCTCACAGTGTCCACCAATTTGGCTTCAAACTCAAAACTCTCCTGCCTTCCACCTCTGAGTTCCCTGGGTTTCTTCATCTGAAAACGGACCTCAGTTTTATTGCTGAAAGCTGATTTTAATATTTTTCTCCTTCTCTAGGACTTCATGTTTTTTGAAAGCAATGCAATCAAGAAAACAAAATTATTTTGTTGTTAATGGATTAATAAAAACGTCCTTGGAAAATGTGGAGTCTAAATATGGAAATCACTCATACCTGCATGAATTAAACTTGGACTCATGTAACTACACTGTCATATGAGTTTGCTTTTCAAGGTACTAGAGTTTATCTCCTAGATCAGTAGCTTATAAAAGTGTTTATATACTTCAGTGAATATTCACTGGGAATTTGGGGAAATGGACATAAGGTTTTGAAATTTTCTATAAAAAATATGTTTGAATTTTAATTCCTGACTTGTTTTCCATTTTAAAATAAAATTAGGCATTATAAGTTTAACAAAATACATTCCTCTATTTATCTATAATTTAATTCATACCAAATGCCTAATGTAATTATTTTGCAAATATTGTCTATTTCAACATATTTTTAAAGATTCTGGTCTATAAAAAATATGTTTGAATTTTAATTCCTGACTTGTTTTCCATTTTAAAATAAAATTAGGCATTATAAGTTTAACAAAATACATTCCTCTATTTATCTATAATTTAATTCATACCAAATGCCTAATGTAATTATTTTGCAAATAT